GGTGCGAGGGAGCTGTACCCCCGCTGCCTGCGCCTGGTTTTCCCATCTTTCCACTGGGGAGAGATGTTTTCTGTAACCACCGGACAGCCACTTGCCAGGGCAGGAAACAGTTTAGGACCAGTTTGGAAACCAGTTGCTAAGCCAGTGGAGGCCCTGTGACAAATTCTAAGATTTCTATGTACTGAAACAGACAGGATGGAGGAAGATGATACTGATGTCTGTAATAATCCTAATGGCAGTATCTTGATCTACAACGCTCCCAAATATATATGCTTGTGTTTTGTGACATTATTTGTTTCACAGTGTAGGTGCGTACACATTCTGTCCACTCAAACAGAAAAGCTGGGTCAGGTCTTCACTTCTGCAACTCTCTTCTCTGTACATGTATTTCAAAATAATATAAAAGATTTTAATGCTCTACTAGCACACTGTAAATGTTCCGCTTTCATCTAGAAGCAAGTGGAATATTTGTGAGATAAATTATACATGCCTCCTTCTGTACCAGCACTAGAGTCAATGCTGCCATTCTTTTAAGATGTAAAAGCAGAACACAGACATTGAGCAATGTTTTCTAAAGCAAAAAACAAAAGAGGATGTAACAAAACACCGTGTCAGGAGGTTCCAAAGAACAGCTGAACTATCTACACAGCTCAAATCAAGTAGAAAAAGACCTGCTGGTGACTGGTGGGTGATTTCTGAGCGGGTGGAACTACAGCTACAAGGAGTATGGTGGTATTCGTAAGTTTCCAAAGAAAGTTACCGAATGATGACATCATGTAAATATTTACACAGCCTGTCCTTTGTAATTCACCTCCTCACTGTTGATTCTCTTGCAGACCCAGAGAAAACGTTATTCCTATTTAAATAAAATCCTCCATCAAACTTGAGTTAAAAGCAGACCAGATTTGTTAAGTTACAATTCTACATCCCAGCTCATATCCCTTGACTTTGTGAAGCAGAAAAGCAATGTTACATAACGTCAGCAAGGTTTTTGTAACAGTTTTGTGACGGTGAATGACTTCATGTCCCAGACCGAGCAGTTAATTCTCCTGCCAAGCTGATTTTTGGCAACTGAGTTCTCAGCCCGCGCAGGCTGAAGTTACCCCTGATTTTGTCATGCACTTGCCTCTCCCCCTTGCTGAGCTGGAGTTCCACCACCGCTTTCATGACACTTGTGCTTCTGTAAACAGGGTGGTTCCTCTGCCCCCTCCCAATTGCCTCCCATGTTGGAGGGACAGAATCGCAGCATTGCCTCGATAGGAAAAGACCTTTAAGCTCATCGAGTCCAGTCATTAACCCAACACTGACCAGTCCCCAACTAACCCACGTCCCTCAGCACTATGTCTACACGACTCTTCAATCCCTCCAGGGATGGGGACTCCACCACTGCCCTGGGCAACCCCTTCCAATGCCTCAGAACCCTTTCAGCAAAGAAATTCTTCCTCACATCCAATCTCAACTGCCCTGGGCACAACTGGAGGCCATTTCCTCTTGTCCTGTCCCTTGTTCCTTGGTTGAACAGACCCACCCCCACCTCTCTCCACCCTCCTTTCAGGGAGTTGGACAGAGTGAGAAGGTCTCCCCTCAGCCTCCTTTTCTCCAGTACCTTTGGCTGGGATGTGAGATGGATGGCAACCAAGAGCAGGGCCCTCAGAGAACCTGGCCTCTGTAGATCAGCCACTCTGACTTTTTCCCTCCTGCTTTGCCATTCTCCCCAGTTTTACAGCCTTTACTGCGCCCAGTGAGAGGTTGGCCAGGATAAAAGAATGTGCTGTGTCTGCCAGGGAGGGAGGTGGACTCTGTCCCCTCCCAGCCACCACCAGCATGGTGGCTCTCTGCAGGTCACGGAGGAAGCCACTGCTGGAGAGAAGGAGCCATCCTACTGTCACTACTTGCACCATGCCCACGCACACCTCACGCCTCCTCACCTCCCTGATACAACCAGCATCAGTAATAACACTTACACACATGATACTCACTGCTTGTGTGGAGTGACGTACACATGTGTCTCATAACTGAGTGGTCACATTATGGTCAAGAGATGGACATGACCTTGGCCATAGGGCTGGGGGCAGCTCATGGAGGCCTGGAGAGAAGCAGAGGAAGCAGGGCACCCTCTGCCCATTCCTGTCCGGGGAGGGGCACAAACAGGGGCGCACACGGAGCCCCGTTTGGCTTTAGCACCCCAGTGCAAGAACTGAGGGAGAACAGAGCACAGGACAGGGCTGGGGGCTCCTGTACTTCACCTAAACGGCATCTCCCACAGCCAGGTACATCCTTGCCTGGTCCTGTACAAACTGCTTGTCCACCTGCTGCCCACACACGAGACTCATCCTTTTCTGAACCTCCTGACACTCTGCCTCCATGACCCCAGTGCCAGAAAGGTCCCAAAGTCCAACATAAAGAATTACTTTTTTTCTGCCCACCTGAACCCAACCTCCTACTTGTTTTACAAGTGTCTCAAGTCCTAGCATTGAGAGATTTGGTGAGCAGCAGCTCCACATCAGTCAAATTCCCCCTTCTGCTCTCCAAATTGAGGAGTCCCAGCCGTTTTGCCTCTATTCCCTACAAGCACTGCTTCAGTTGCCTTTCCCTGTGCTTTGTTTGCCGCTGGGCTCCTCTGGGATGGTAGCCAAAAGGCTGCAAGCTGACTTGGAGGTGGGCTGCAGTCTCTGAGCTGCTGCTTCCTGCGCTGATGGCTTTTCCTGGAGCATGTGTCCTGGGCAGAGGGGAACAGTAGACAGGGTTGGACCATACCTGTCCCCATAGCATCATTTTTGGGGAAAACATTGCCCAAACGAGGCCAGGAGCAACAACACACACTCCCTCTGACCTTCTGCCTGTTGCAATCTCTGGACCACACTGGAAGGGGAGCACTGGGGGGGACTCCCCATCCCTTAGCTGGTGCTAAACACACCCCATTTCACAGCACACAGCTCCCAGCCTCCCTGTGCTAGCACAGCGTGACAACTCCAGAGTCTGAGGTTTGCTGGCTACGTGTTTAGGGTTGGTTTTCTTGTGATACATTGCATCTTCATAAATCAGCTCTCAAAACTGTTTCTTCCTCAGTCATTTCATTGTTTAAATCCGTTACTTAAGGCAGGAAGAAGCCAGTCATCCAGTTTGCCTGAAGGAAAGCCCGCACGGCCGCGGAAATTCAGACATACAGCCAAAAAAAAAGAAGTTTCGTTTCCTGAACGCTCCAAAGAATGACTGCTGTTGACTGGGGAAAAGCCGTGCGCCTTTGGTCAGAAGAAGGGAAGGAAAACTACACCTCCCAGCAGCCTGCCGGGTGGCTGTGGAAGGGCAGGGTTCACTGTCACGTTGACAGCGGAGGATTAAGGGTGTGCGTTGAGGCCACAGGCTGTCCGGCCACCAGCAGAGCCAAAGGGTCTCTGGGAAGGGCAACTGAAGGGGCCAGTGCTGGCCTCCTCTTTTCATCCCTCTGCTTCACTTCGCTGCCCTGACTGGCTCTGAAACTTCCTGGGTAAGCATCTGACTCCGCGAGTGACTTTGTTCCTCTGACTTCCTTCTTCTGCCAGAGCGTCAGCGGCGGGAGCAGCACGGGGAAGGGAGGGACGAGAGCTGGGCGGCAGCGATTATACCCCCCCACACACCTCCAGATCTTGTATTTAGCAAGAAAACTCAGCTGTAGAGACAGTGGGGGTGGGGGAAGGTGCCCCCCTATGCTAGAAGAGCTGTTGAGAAGGCTGAGCTTGAGATTTTTGTACAGAAATCAGCACCAACTGCTTTTCATCGGGGAAAGTTTCTGGGGAGTTTTCCATGCCACTGGTTTTTCGGCGGGCAGGCGTTGCACTCGTGAAAGCCATCAACTTCCTGAGGTTACACCAGCGAGCCTCGCTCTGTCCTGCATGGCTCTGCGATCCCAAAACACTGGGGGGGTGTAGGAGAGTCAGGCTGTGGGCATTACTGGTCCCCCTGGGATGGGCACAAGGTCAGGAGGTAGTAATGGTGCTGCACAGGGGCCGGGCAATGTTTCTGCCAGCAGCTTTGCCTTCCAGCACCACCGACTCCTGATCCGACATGCTGGAGGCAGGAAGGTAAGGTGAAGCTGGCTCGTTGCTCTGTGTCAATTTGGCTGTGAGATACCAGATGCCCAAAAGCACGTGGGGCAGCCTGCCGAGCCCCAGCCTCCAGGCCTGCTGTCTCAGAGCACAGCCAAATCCATCCAAGTCCATCCGGATGAGAAACCAGTGCCTCACTCCACCAGCTTGTCCCGAGATAACTGTGGTTTGCGTTAGCCCTTGGGCTGCCAGGAAGGAAAATAGCTAATAGCCCTTAGGCTGAAGGTTCATGGTCATCAGTGGCATCCATCCATTTTCGCACCACGTTGGTAATTGTGGAGGGAGGAGCCTCCTTCTCCACCATGAATCACTGCTCCTGTGTCTCTGCTTATCAGGTTTTATGGGCGTTTAGTTGCAACTCCAGAGGCCAAGACAAGATGGTGTCTGTGAAGGTGATGGGACTTGGTCAGCCACTTGAACGGCAGGGAAGTACATCTCCTTATAGCCAGAGGAGCAAGTGAAACAAAACAACAGAAGCCAGAGCTTCAGGGGAGAAAGAAAATGGAAGAGAATCCAAGTGTGAACCTGCCTGGAGGTAAGTGAATCCTATGCTTACTCCATCTACTAGGAAGATCTCTTTGCAGGAAGATTTCAACAGTGACATGGGAAACCTAAGCAAAATAAAAATAAAAAAAATAAAAGAATCCTCTGCTTTCCAGGCCATGAAAAGCAAGTTGCTATCTTTTCTTGAAGGGTAAAAGATTAACAAGTTACTTTCAGTTTTGGATTCCTGTCAGTGACAGGTTTAGATTCTGTGTCCAGGATGACAGCACAAGGGGAAGGCTAAAGATGGAGCTCTAGACGAGGAGAGCTTTCTTCCCTGCATCCCAGTGCTTCCCATTTACAGATGCTTAGATAATAAACCAGTTTTCCACCACCTTTGGTTGGGAAACCTCTGAAAGAAGCAGGGCAAGGAGTACTGTTTGTGCCCAGCTTGAATAGCAGGATAGCTCCAGGTTCCTCATATTTCAGTTTCTACCATGTACTTTCATTCTCCAGGTGCCTTGTCATGGCTGCTACATACGAGTATTTCAGTGATACCGTGATGCTATAACCAGCTCAGATCCGTCCTAGGTGATCAGGATTGTTCCCATAATAATCAGCAATGAGGAATGTAAAAATCATGCTCCAAAGGACAGCATGTTCTGACACATGCCAAGTGCAGTTTTGTCTCTGTTTTCAAATGACTCCCAAGTTCCTTGCCATTTTTATCAGTCTTTATTCTAATTTTAGTATAATCATTTATGTCATTGCAGTGCTTGATCATTCATAAGCAATTTTTCACAAATAGCACCCAAAATTAGAGCTGCAGTTGGGTTTTGTAAGATTCAGAAGATGTTGCAACGCTTATGTTCAGCCTCAGAATTTCTCTATTGCATTATGCTCCAGTGTTTGCTTTTAATTATACCTTACCATAGCTCTTTGGGAGAGCAGCTCCAGAATAGGAGCAGAGAAGGACACAAGCAGAGCTGACATTAACAGTCAGAAGGGGTGTTGGCATAACTGTTCTGGCCAGTACTCAACAACAGCCTTAGAAATGTTTCAAATCAATCACTTGAATCTACCAGCCTAGGAAAACCCACTATCTGTGGACGATGTGGTAACAGATCCTACCACTTAACGAATGAATTGCCTGCCCACCCCACATAGGACAGCATGGGAGATGGCCTGGGATTGAGGTCACTTTCCTTCCAGCAGCCTGTACAGTGCTGTGTTTTGGATTTGGTGTTTAAAAAAAGATGCTGATAACACAGCAGTGTTTTGGCTGAACAACAGTTGTTGCTTCCCCCCCATGAACAAGCAAATAATCTGGGGTGGGCAGAAGTATTGGGCAAGGATCCAAGGTGGGCAAAGGGATGTTGCCTACAGTGTGACATCATGTTCAACAACAAAACTGGGCTACAGGAAGAAAGGGAGAGGGGGTTGGCTTCCCAGCTGGTCATTGCTCAAAGACTAGCTTGGCATCATAGAATCACTAAGGTTGGAAAAGACCTCTAAGATCATGGAGTCCAACCATCAACCCAATACCACCATGCCCACTAAACCGTGTCCCTAAGCGCCACATCTCCTCGTCTTTTAAATCCCTCCAGGGATGGTGACTCCTCCACTTCCCTGGGCAGCCTGTTCCAATGCTTGACAACACTTTCAGTGAAGGAATTTTTCCTAATATCCAACCTAAACATCCCCTGCTGCAACTTGAGGCCATTTCCTCTTGTCCTATCACTGGTTACTTGGGAGAAGAGACTGACACCCACATCACTCACTACAACCTCCTTTCAGGCAGTTGTAGAGAGCAATAAGGTCTCCCCTCAGCCTCCTTTTCTCAAGACTAAACAATCCCAGTTCCCTCAGCTGCTCCTCATAAGGTTTGTTCTCCAGACCCTTCACCAGCTTTGTTGCCCTTCTTTGGACATGTGTTGTAGGAGGTAGCCGGCGACTGTCTTTGCATTGCTTGTGATTTCCCCCCCCTTTCCTTCACCTGTTCAGCTTCTCTTGATCTCAACCCATGAGTTTTCTCACTTTTGGTCACCCTGTTCTCTCCCCCTTCTCACTGGGGGTAGATGTTTCTAAAATACAAGAACTGGGATTTTTACAGGGTGGTGGTAAAGCACTGGGTGTTCTTGACTCCTCTATGGCTAACTGAGCTTGTGAACTCTGATCCCAACAGCTGGGCCAGCCCAAGATAAGGTGGAGAGCACAGCAGAGCATCCTGTGCATCAAGAGCCCACCCAAGAAACACTTGAGCACCAAGTGACGAGCGGGTGGCCCAAGACCTCCTGCAAACCAGAGGACGACTCTTTGGTGTGTCAATCACCAGATGCTGATGGAGGAGAGACAACACTGTTAGATTCATCTGACCCCACAGTAGAGGAGAAGGTTCCTCAGGAAACTGAAGCATCACTGGAAGAATCTCCGAAGACAAGAGATGGTCTATCAGAAAGATCCCAGGAAGAAGATAACTTGGATGAAGGTGAGTCTGTCCCCTTCTATGTGTACAGCATTTCCAAAATGCTGATAACCTGGGCCCTTGCTTAGAGGGGGCAGAGCAGGAGAAAGGGTTCTTGGTTCTTGTGCTGAAAGAGATTAAGGGTAGGTCTGCAAATTTTATTCCCTACAGCCCAGCTGGCCCACAGTATAATGGACAGCAAAGGAGACAGCCTTGTCCACCAGGAAACATGGGAGGACCAGGAGACAAGCAAGCCATGTGAAAGCTCCAACACAGCAGAGGAAGATGCTTCATCAATAAGCAAGTTACTGAGCTCTGACAGTAAAATGACACATTTGGATGTGACTGCCACAGAAGATGTCACCAAGGGCCTCTTGGCAGAGGAAAGCACCAGTGCCCCTCTCCTAGATCAGAGGCCAAAAGAGCACACAGAGCAAGAAACACAGGAGAGCGGATCCCAAGGCACATTACGGAGCAGACACGGGATCAAAGGTGAGCTGGTGGCTGCACGCTGCTGCTCTGCCGCTGTGCACGTGCCTACGCTGTGCATAAGCATAAGGAAAATGGTTTGGTGAGATCTCTAGTGCCCATTGTGAGCTTTCCAGAGTCGAGCAGGAAAGAAGGTATAAGAAATAAACTGGCTTCTCTCTTTCTCTCTCTCTCCTTTGGCTATTGCCCTGCTTGGAAAGGCATGACACCATGCTGCACTCTGCATCGTCTTTCTCCTTTCCCTGCCCAAAAAGCAGAGAGCCAAGACTCAAAGCAGCATTAACCCAAAGCAGTACTCACTCCTAACTCAGCTGGGAGCTCCTGGAAGCTCTATTGCTTTTCTCATTACAGCCCAACCTCCCCATTCCCTCAACACTGCGTGGCACATTTCTTTCTCTTACTGTAGGGCACACAGCCCCAAAGCCAGAGGCTCAGTCCTGCTTGCAGAACGTCACCACCCAAAACACAGACCAGGAGAAGGCCAAAGAGTCCTTCTTGCTGAAAGGTGAGGAAAAGAAGCTTCCCTTGTGCATTACTCATCGACCAGAAGGCACTGATCGTCCAGGAACAAGTAATGAAGCACATTTAATTATTATTCTATCTCAGGACCTTTCACAGCTTTTTCTGAGGGTTTGAGGGGAAAAAAGCATCCTCTTAAGAAAAGGGTCAGTTTGAGCCTGTAGTAGCAGCTTTACCTCCAACTCCCCAGCCTCAAAAGTAGGCTCATCACGTTCAGCATGTCCTGGGAGGTCTGAGGCTCCTATGCCAATGGTCCCTTCCCAGTCTTCCTCTGTGTCATGGAGCCTCAAGCAGGAACCGTGATGCTGATCTGCACCACACATTTCTCCTGCTAGAAAGAGACCCTGCCTTGCCATGGAGAGGGATGCAAGCAGTTGTGTCTGGACCTCGCTGTCCTCTTTTTCTGGGATGGATCACAGTAGCCTTTCTTCACCCAGCATAGCCAAGAGGAAAGCAGTAAACACAGCATTTTAGCTGGGTCATACAGCTCCATATGTGGAGGTAGGTGCTCCAAATGGTTACAAACCTTAAAGAAAATACAGGAGGGGTAAAGAGAAGAAAGCTTGTGGTCAGCTGCAATTTCCCCAGGAAGTTTTGCACCCCAACAGTGAAGCTGTAGCCTTGCCTCCATCTCTGGAGCTGTAGCCACCCCAGCTGGTGTGTAGGAGCATGGGTCTCAACATGGATCAAGCAGCCTCTTCAGCATTCCTGAGCCCTCAGAGAGCATGCCAACCTGAACCACTGTCCTAGCGTAGGGGGGAACGTCTGAGAGGGGAAAAAGAACCCTGGTAGCTACTTTCTAGCATATTACTGCAGGTCACTTGGGACTGACTTCTGTTCCCCATCTGGGGTCTCTCCCCTGTTGAACAGGACTTGTCGTTGTGAGCCTTGTATTGCTCGGCTTCTGCATATTCTGCTTCGGCAACCCGACCTCCAAGTCCCAGCAAGCACCCAAGAACCCCACGGTGGAGGCCTTCCTGTCCCAGTTCAACCAGCTGCAGGACAGATTTCCAGGGCAGAGTCCCCACCTGTGGCTTCGTGGGCGTAAGTTCCTGCAGAAGCACCTCAATACGTCCCACCACACGCAGCCGGCCATCATCATCTTGGCAGCCGCCCGCAAGGCCGAGCAGACCTTGCGATGCCTTAGCACCCATGTGGCTAACACCTACTCATCCGCCCTCCACGCCAGCACTGTCCAGATCAGTGGTACAGATAAATCCAGGCTCCAGAGTGACCAGGCCAAGCTGGAGGTTGACTCAGAGCTGAGCTCAGCTTTCCAGGCTGGGGGCCGTGCTGCGGTGATACACCGCTTCGAGTTGCTGCCGGCGGGGGCCACCCTTATCTTCTACAAGTACTGCGACCATGAAAGTGCTGCTTTCAAGGACGTGGCCCTGCTGCTGACCGTGCTGCTGGATGAGGAGATGCTGGAGACCCACATCAGCCTCCAGCAGGTGGAAGAGAGGGTCCGTGACTTCCTCTGGGCCAAGTTCACCAGCACTAAGACCCCCAGCTCCTACGACCACATGGACTCTGACAAGCTGAGTGGGCTGTGGAGCCGCATCTCCCACCTGGTCCTACCAATCCATCCAGTACAGACCATCGAGAAGGGGGACTGCCATGTCCACACCAAACCTTAGGTGCAAAGGCTGCCAGAGCCCCGGGAAGGGTTGGAAAGATGGTCCTGGCTGACTCTGGTGCAGGCAGATGCACACCCAGTGCTATTTCTCTTCAGTTTGTTTCCTGTACCTTCCTGGGAAGAGTTGGACAGGTACAAGTTGATCCAGGCCATTTGGCCACCCAAATCCTGGAGGTGATAGCTCACATGCTTCCTTCTGGCAGATGAGAAGAGTGGATATTTTAAATTGCTAATTGCACAGGAGAACATCGCTGTGTGGGGAGGCAGGAGGGAAAACAGGACTTTGCAGGTAGTGTTTCTATCAGGAAATGCAGAAATAACGTACACAACTATTACACCAGAAAGATCCTTCAGTTCAGTAGCTCTTTCATTTCTCCCTGCCCCTCAGTTTGCTAATGTCGTGTACATCAATCTCACAATGTACTTTATCTAGAAGGTTTCCCTCTCTTCACAGGGAGCCACTGGAACACAGGAAACTCAAATTCCCCAAAGCCCAACATTTTGAAGGCATGCTTCAAAAAGAAAACCAGTTTGCTAGTCAAGGGTTTGACTAGTCAGTCCTGATAGAATCCCACTTGCACAGAGTGAATGACACTCAGCAAAGACCAGATCCTACATAGAGGATGTTCAAACAAACCTGCAATTCAGAAATCCCCTAAGCATCAATTATAAGAAATTAAACACTGCACTAAAGAGGGGGGATCCCATATGCCAGAGAATAAGCTCCAGAGACTGAGAATAATGAAACAGAAAGCACCTTACTGTCATTCTGAGAGCATGGAGCCTCAAGGGATTGCACAGGTGAAAGGATGAGTAAAACAGTTTAACTTAATGCTACCTCCGTAAAAAAAATAGTGCCCTCTCAATCCCTTTGCCACCACACAGCTATGACAGTCTCCTTGGGCTGATGCATCAGCTTTGGTCCTACATGACAGATTGCTCTTCACTTGGATCTGTGTGTA